TAATTTTGATTAATGCCATACTCTATGATACATAAATTTTGTATTTATTGAATTTGATAAAGTTGATTTGATTAAATATTTCTATCTCCATTTTAAAGCTTGATCATGATTTTATATATGAATTTATATTTATTTATGTATTTTATTTATTTTTTTAAAACTTTTTTAAAAAATAAAACTGGCCTATGGACCATGGAGTGTGAAAAGAAGCTCCAAAAGAAATGATGGATGAGATTACAAGAAGAACCAAATGTCAATATTTTGATAATAGGACGGATGATATGAATAAGAAAAATCCACAGATCATGATTTTCATGATTTAAGAAGTTATTAAAACAGTAATATAATAATTAAATAAAAAATAATTTTTATATGCACATACATTCATATATATATATATATAATATTAAAAATAAGTTTAGAGTTGTTTGATCATAATATATTTTACTCTCTTTATTTTAAATTATAAGAAATTTTTAAACAAATCTCGTAGGGAGAAAAAGAGTAGTATTGAAATTAATAAATTTAATAAAATCTTAATCTACCTAAAGTGTCTTGTATTTTGAGGCGAAAAAACTCCTTCAAAATGGCCTTATAATTTAGAACAGAGAAAATATTATAATTTTCTTATTTTTCATATGTATATATTTTTATTTACTTTATTCATTCTTTTAAAGTAAATGAGTTTTCAATTTTCTCCACACTTTTATTAAAATAATGCCAATAAATAAATTATGCAATCAAGATTTTAATTACTATAACAATTCAGAAGTAAGTTGACATTATTATTTTTTAATTGAATAAAAAACTTTATTATTAAAATAAGAGTAAAATTAGAAAAAGTTCAAAACAATTCAATTACTTCGAGTTTTTGCTGATGTTTTCAAAAAGCTGCCTGCATCATAATAGGCTAATGCGAGCCAATTATTAAAACTAAAACTAGTTAAATGGTTGATTCAAACCACTTTGCAAGTGACAATCCAACAGTCCATGTCCCAAGACATTGCCAAATGCCATATAACATGATATAGCTAAATAATCAAAGTATTAGGGCACTGATGGAGAAAAACAGGAAAAAAAAGAAAAAAAAAGTGCAGGGTTTGAGACCCAGCAACCTCAAGTACTCAGTGCAAAAGCTTAAGCTTATTTTTGACATGCCAAGGATTTCTAGGAGTGTTGTTCCCTCTGGTAGGACTGAGGAGCTTTTTTGTCACCATTAAGGCATCTCCTCGCACTTATCTTTCCTGTTCCAAGTCTTTGTTTAAGACAAAGGAAAGGGATCAAAAAAGGAACAGAAAAATTTGCATGGAGGTTTGGTTTAGGAAGAAGACAAATACTGATTTTGGTTGGAAAGGCACAGTCCAAACTCCGAAAAGATGCTGTTTCCTGTTCAATCTTCATGAGCAAGCAAGAGTGAATTATTTTAATTTGACTTCTGATGAGTGGCTGTATGTGTCAGTGCCAGAGATGGGGATTTGAGCGGTGCTTGAATTTCCTCCGCGTCCTTAATGTATATACATTTAAAAAAAAAAGTGAAAGGGTATTTTTGTCCGTCCACCATTTATTTAGAAATGTATGGGATTTTAAACTTCAATATGATTCAATTTGTCTTTAACATTTGAAAAATGATACAATATTATTTACCTGTTTGGATAGCCCAAAAAATCAATTTCCCTTTGACATTTAAAAAAATGGTATAATATTATCTGCTTGTTTGGATAGCCCAAAATGGGATAATATTATCTGCCTGATAGCCCAAAAAAATTAATTTTTTGGTTAAAGTTATTCAAACACCCAAAAAATTTGAGAATTAATTATTAAATCAGAATTATATTTTAAAATAAGCTTTGAAAATTTGTTTGTAGATTCAATTTTGCTGTTAAATAATATATTTTACTTTTTAAATAAAATTTAACAAATTTAATAATATTAAATATAACTTTATCAATAATTTAATTTTAAAAACCAATATCTTTATGATAATTTATACAGCTAAAATTAATTCAATATTCAAAAAGATTATCTTATAATATAATTAATTATAATACTCAACTGAAATGAAAGGGCACTATTATTTTAAAGCTTGAGTCTAATCTTAAGCCTATATACAAGCTTTTTTTTTTTTTTTAAGATTTAAGTTTGAGCCTATCATAAACTTGAATGAGGCCAAAACCATTTTAAAGACCTATTCATTAAGTAAGCCTTTAAAAAGGCTTTAAGAGATAGACTTTAAATAGCATTCATTAGATTTTAAGTGTATCTAAATTATCAACAAAGCTTAATCATTTAACTAAAAGAATATATGTTGCAATATAATAATATAAATTAAATATAATAATATATATATTAAATGTATTTAATATATAAATATAATATATATAAAAATTAAATGAAGCTTTCATGGGCATTGTAGTCTTACAGGCCACTCTGTTTTCAGAGGCTTGGCTTATTTAGCTAGACATACCTTAAAAATAAGTCTATTTAGCTAAAAAGATTTGGCAAACAATTTGTTTAATTGATTGTTTGTTTGCTCTTTTTTGTTGTTGTTGTTGTTGGTTTTTTTTTCTTTTTTTGTGTGCTCACTCACACACTACACTTTTCCAAAGGAAAGCTCCCGGGGTTCGAAGACTTGGGTGACGGCAGTAGGCCATTGGCATTACATCCGTAACATAAACTTGCAGTTACGAGGTATCTCATTGCGAACGAAAAAAGAGAAAGATAGGATCGAGCCATGTGGGTCAAAGGGGACTGATGCTTATCCCAGTAACAAGATCTGTGACATTCAAATTTTTAAAATATTTTTATATATTTTTATTTTATATTTATTAAAATAAAATTTATAAAATTTGTAATATAATTTTAATTTAACCTAAATTTAATTTAGAGGATATAATTTAATATTAAAATTTTTATAATGATGAATCTAGGCTATACAGAGTAAATTTAAATAGTCAATATACATCATTATAAAAATTTTAATATTAAATTGAACATTTCAAATTAAATTTAAATCATATTAAGAATAAAAAATTTATTAAAATTATTTTATAATTTTTATAAATTTTTATTTTAATAAATATAATACTTCGTCTATCCCTATATATAAGAAGTCTTTTAAAACCTTTTTTATTCCTAAATATAAAGAATTGTTAGTATATTTTTAAATAAATGGATCATTACATCCTTATTAAATTGAAAAGAAAAAAAGATAAGTATTCCCATCAATTTATTTTAAAAAAGATTTATTTTTTATTTATAATAATTAAAGGTAAAATTAAAATGTTGTTATATTTTTAATTATATAATTAATTTTTATTAATTTATATGATTTAATTAAAAATATTTTATATATAGAGATGGGGGAGTATATAATACTCAATTAATCATCTAAATTATCTGGATGGTCCAGAGATGAGCGCCCAAGTCAGTCCTGCGTCAAAGTGCACATTAACAAACCTGTGGTTAAGACTTGAACTTCTCAACTAATCATCTCCTGAGTGGGCCAATAAAGTCGGAGTTTCTGCTTGCACGATAGCACAATTGGATACATTGAAGAGAGGGAACAAATTGAACTCCACTAGGCTCGGCCATCAATTATTTTAACATCAAGATATAATAAAATAATTTTGACAAAAAAAAAAATCTTTTCTCCTGTTCCAATTTCAACTAGATTTTAGAAAATTAAAAATTAAAAGAAGTTAATACTTATTAAAATATTGACTCGACAATATATCATCGTGGTCTCATATCTATTCATTGCACCCTTGTCACCGTCCCAGACATGCTTTTCGATCTCCGCCATTGCTTCAGATCTATCAGTCTCCCCCGTGTTATTTTGCTAAGCTAATAATGAAGTTATTGGATTTTCTTTCAATCTATGCTTTTCCTTTAATTTTCTTTTCATCATCATGATGTCATCATCATCTCTCTTGCTTTATTTTATCAATTTGTGAATGGCATGCATTTACAAGAATTTTGTTATTTATATATTTAATATATTTTTATTTAATTGAATTAAAACATGTAAATTTTAATATATTAATAATATTAATAATAAAAATTTATTATAAAATAAATAATTTAAAAAATATACATATATGTTAATGCGAGACAATCCTCTTAACTATATAATACTGAACATATACGTTTTCTCTTTTTATAATTATGTAGTTATGATTTTTGTAGAGACATATTTTTAGATTTTAATACTGGCAGTCTAGAATCATTGTTTATGTTTCTTGAAAAAATATAACTTTAGATTACTATATTTTACTCACATTTTATTATAAATTTTTATAATTTTATTTTTCAGTATTCTAAGTCACTCGATACATTCATTGAGAAATCTAGAATATTAAAAAATAAAAATATAGAGATCTAAATATTAAAAGAATTTAAAAATTTATAATAAGACTTGAACAAAGTACAAGAGCTCAAAGTTATATTTTTTCATATTTCTTTATGTCTCTAGGTTTGTATTTTGATTTTGGTTGTTATATTTTCTGTCAGACATTTTTTTTTTCTTTATCATATTTTACCGAGTTCATTTTCATTTTGTGGAAATATCTAGATGAATTTTACGTTATTAAGATTTTAATTTTATTTAATTTTTTGTTTGAGTTCTAATTTTATTGTCAACATCAGTACATATTTTGTTCGATTTTATTTATATAAGGCACATTTTAAAAAACTTATCTAATTTTATTTATAAGCTATAGTACGACTTCTTAAGTAATATTTAAAAAATATTTTTAAAATTACTCAAAGAAAATAACATGAAATTGTTTTTTAAATTTATCATATAAAAATATATTTAAAATTTTACACACTCTTATTTTTATATTTTTTATATTAATATTAATAAAGTTGATAAAATGACTCATAAAAAAGATACAGGCACACTATAGCTTTTTTAAGGATAAAGAAGGAAAATCACTGTATTTGACAAATGACAATATCAATAGATGATCTCAACGGTTAAGAACAACCTGCATGTGGACCTGGGACCAAAACAGAGGGCTGTAGAATATGGGCTGTGTTTTCCAGTCCATATTAGCACAGAAACATTAGGAGTCGGCCAGTGCGCTTAATTATTAATGTCCAAGAGGAGCATGATTAAGCTGTCAAAAGCATTCCCAAACTTGAAGCTTTTTAATTTTTATGCAACAAAAGAAGCATCAATTAAAGCCAACTTACAGGGAAACCTATTCTTAGTTTCCTACTTAGCTCGCTATCTGTTTATAGTCATCGTCCTGCTGCTCATCGTCCTCTATCTCTCTCTCTCTCTTCATCCATTATTCTGTCTCTGTGAGGATTGTGTACGTGTGAGCAAGTGCGTGGGATCTGTACGGCAATTCCAGTAAGGGAACAAAGCCAAAAGAGATCAAGTTGGCCATTCTTTTCAACCGCCTTTCACCGCTCTAAAAATATCTCTGCATCTCCCTCTTCTTCTCCTACATCACTTTCTCTCCTCTGCTAGTGAACCAGAGAGAAGAAGATGAATAAGCAAGACGGTCTCAAAATTCAGGTACTTACAGGTTCTATCGAGTCTCATTTTTGTTTAATAAGCTTAGTTATTACACTTGCTTTTGTTCATCTAGTAATTCTTCTGTGCTGATGCCAACCGAATTTTGCAGACTTGTGTTCTCAAGGTGAATATCCACTGTGATGGCTGCCAGCATAAAGTAAAGAAACTGCTTCAGAAAATCGATGGTACATAGCTTTCATTACACATCTAATCTGTCCCTTTTCAGATCCAATGTTGATATGCTTCATGTTTCAACTTTATCTTGAACTAATAGTGTGTGGGTGTGTGGTGACAGGGGTGTATTCAGTGAACATAGATGCAGAGCAAGGTAAGGTAGTGGTGGCAGGGAATGTGGATCCAAGCAAATTGATAAAAAAGCTGAAAAGTTCAGGCAAACACGCTGAAATATGGGCGCCGAAAGGCATGATGTTTCCCACTAACCAGTTCAACAACCTGCAAATTGATCATCATCATGGCAAAGGAGCAAAGGACAACAACAAGTCTCACAAGGGCACAAAGGACCACCAGAAAGGTGGAGGTGGTGGTGGTGGTCAGCCTCAGTTGTTTCAATTCCAAAATAAAGCGCCAAGTAATTTCAAGCCACCCGCCAAAAACAACAAATCTGTCAAGTTCGACTTGCCGGAGGAGGATTTTGACGCAAGTGATGACGAGTTCGACGACGATTTTGACGATTACGAAGATTCAGAGGACTATGAAGACGACCATGCCCATGCCATGCCAAACAAAATGATGAAAGGGCAAAAAGGCAACAGTGGCGGGGGAAAGGGTAAAATGGAAAGGAAATTGACGCCATGGCTGTAGCAGCGCAAATCAAGTCCAAAAATGGAGGCAATGGAGGAAAGAAACAGAAGAGTGGAGGTGGAGGTGGAGGTGGAGGAGGTACAAAAAGAACACGAAAACCAGTGGGGGATTGCTAAGTCGGTTACTAGGGTTTGGTAAAAAAGGAGGCGACAAAAACAAGGATAACAAGAAGAAGAAGAATAAGGAGGGAGGAGGTGGGGGTAAAACTGGAAATAAAAAGAAGGGTAAAGAAGGAAAGAAATTTGAGGACGAGGGCTACGATTTTGATGACGACGACAACAATGATGATCTTGATAAACTCGTTCTTCCTCAATCTCATCAGCCTAAAGGTAAAGGTAAAGGAGGAGGAGGAGGCGGCCAGGGCGGCAATGGTGGTGACAGTAAAAAGGATAATAATAGGAACGTGGGCCAAATGGGCCCTGTTCCAATGGGCCAGATGGGCCCTGTTCCAATGGGCCAGATGGATCAGATGAGGAATTTAATGCCAGGGTATTACCCTGGCATGCACATGCAACCTCCTCCTCATGCTCCACAATATCTGCCCCAGCAGCAACAGCACTACATGGCTCCCATGATGAGCCATAATTATCAGCAGCAGCCACATCTGAACAGTATGTACCCGCAGCAACCGATGATGTACGGTCAGCCTTACATGCAGCCGCCGCCGCCGATCCCGGTTCATCCCGGGGCCGATCATGCGAATTACGGCTACAATGAGGAGGACAACGGCTGCACTGTCATGTAAATTAGGGGTCGAGCTTGTTTTGCATCGCTTTTCTATTTATTTTGTGTTTTTTTTTTTGGTCCTCCCCTGTTTGGTATCAGGGCTTTCATGAAATTTTGTTTGGTGAGTAGTCAGATTCAGATATGTGCAAAAATGTAGGATGATATATCTAATTTAAATATATAAAATTGATATGGTGCTTTTATTTGGACCGTGTCGTGCGCTACGGACGTCATGACAGGCGATCACATGTGCTAACTGTAAGCGCTAATGGCCAAAAAATGGCCCTCACCGTACAGCCAATAGTCCATGATTGATGATGCTCTTTATTTCATGGGAAAATGGAAGGACAGTATAGAATCAATTAATTTAAATTAAATGTATATTTGATTTTCATTTTATTTTTAATAAAAAATTTTGTTAAATTATTTATTAAATTTAAAAAAATACATTTTAAATGTGATTGGAATATATTTTTGAGAGTTATTCAGATAAATCTTAAGTTCTCATTATTTTTAGAATACGAACAAAGTTTTTTGGTCTTTCAATTATTAGAATTTAACAATGAGATTTACAAATTTAATTTTTAATTTTTTAATTTTTTTGTGGTGCATTTATAATTTATTTTTTAATTTTAATAGAGAATATAAATGTTCATATTTAATATTGAGAAGTATGAAATTTAAACGTTACAAGACTTTGTATGTTTAATTTTAATTTTATAATTTTATTGTGATATATTTGTAATTTATTTTTTTAAAATTTTAACCAGTTACATAAGTGTTCATTTTTAATGTTAAAAGTATTAAGTTTAATAGCTCTAGAGATTTGCAAGTTCATCTCTCAATTTTGTAATTTATTATGATGTATTTACAACTTATTTTTTAAATTTTAACAAAAAATACAAAAATTCATTTTTTTATGCTGAAAAATATTAAGTCTACCAACTCTAAGAATTTACAAAAGACGTTACTTCCTCAATATTATGCATATCTTTAAATATTAAAGATGAACATTTGTGTTTGTTATTAAAATTTAAAAAATAAGTTGTAAATGTATTATAATAAAGTTGTAAAATTGAAAGACGAATTTATAAATTTTTAAAATTATTAAATTTATTACCATTAAAGGAAGAAGGATTTTTTTGATACTTTCAAATTGATTGGGATTTAACTTAAATTAATTAATTAAGACTTAACTATCATTCTTCTTATTTTATATAATTACTGTGGAATGCCCTTGCTCTTTCTGTCTCAAGTTACAAAACAATCTAAGACAAAGTTACACATATTAACAAAACTCAATACTGTTTGCTAAAAAAAAAATAAAGCTCAATAATGAAACTTTATATACTTACATTGTCAACAATAAAACCATAAACTTTAAGAAATGCTTTTATACACTTATCATCATGCTATTCTCTCTCAACTTAAAGAGTAATATTAAAAAATATTGAAACTTTATTTTGTTAAATTATCTTTATGTTGAGATAACCAAATTTCTTTAAAATTGTTCTATAATTGAGGTAAAGGGAGTAATACTTTATTAATTATAGGGAGAATGATAGAAAAGTGTCAAAATAGAGAATTTATGACCATGAGGTTCCAGATAAAATTTTCTACAAAATAAGTTACAAATATTGATTCAGACAATTAAAAATAAAAATATCAATTATAAATTAAGAGTTATATTTAGAATTTAAATATTTATTTGTAATTTTAAATTTGCGATGATTTGAATTAATATTTACAGCTGACTTTATAAAAAATTAATTGAGACTTAACTGTTATAAATTTATTGTTATAGAATTTTAATATCATTCTCCCAAAATGATCAAGGGCTTGTAATCATCACAAGTGGACAGTTTATTATGTGCTTAACGGGGCCTCAAGCTTACCTTGGCTTCTTAGCCTTTTAGCACTTAAAAACTGGTTTGTAAACATCTGTTTCAACTTTCAGAAGCTGCAGTGCGCTTTTTTCTCCTTTTGTAATATTAAATGCCTTTGGCTTCGATATCCACCGCCATTAATTTTAGGTTATGCTTCGTGATGATATGGGCCAATGTAAGCTATATGAGTTGGCTCATAATAGTAGCGAAGTCAGAATTCTTGATCAAGGCAATGATAGGGCTAGAATTCTCAATAAAGAAAAGATATTTTTATTTTTTTTAATTAATTATTTATTTTTTTTAATTTTCTATCCAGCTTTCAATTGTAAATTTATAAGTGCAATGAGCTAGCGAAAAACATTCACTTAATTTAATCTTGAGTTTTGAATTTTCATTATTTATTATTTTTTTAACTAGTTACTAAGTAGTATTCAGGATGAGGAACGAGTCTATTTAATCATATTAGTTTTTTTTCTATTTTTAAACAATTAATAAATAAAATTAGTATTTAGGTATAGTGAAATTGTGGGCTAATATTTATGAGGTTAAGTTAAAATTTGAATAGATCTTGGCTAAAAAGTAAGATTGAAATGAATTTAAATTTTAAAATATAAAATAAAGAAGTGTAAAGTATAATAAGTAAAATGTGAAAATTATAAATATAAAAACCTATACTCAAAAACATGTCATTTTTCTTAATATACCCCGTGGCTCCACCACTGTCTCATCATAAAGTTGCCTAGATCTGGCTCATTACGTCTAAAAAACCATTAAAGATGACTCTAGTGATGACTTATTCCCTCACTGGCCACTTCTTAGTGGCTAGTGCATCTTGCCACCATCGAGTGAGTGTTGGCAAGATCAAAATTGAAATTCATTTTCTTGTTCCAGATCTGGTGAATGCTGTCATTATGTGATAAGGATGGAATAGGAGCGAGGGGAGGAAGAGACGAAGCCACCCTAATGTAGACACTAGTACAAACAGGAGTGGAGATAGTCGAGGTTGAGCGACTCCTTGCCCCCATCGCTTGCTTTTGGGTTCATCATCGATCCTCATCTGATTCTAGGTTCATGAAATCGGGTTTCAAATCATGGGTTCATGAAATTGAGTTCTAATTTTGATTAATGGTTTCTGATTTGTGAAATTGAGCCTTTTCTGGGTTGAGTAGAAACAGGCAATGGAAGAAAATGAGGACATTTGGTTCTTTTTCTGTCAATTTTTGTTTGATTTGAGTTTTTTTTTTCTAATCTCATATCATATCAAACATAATTTTAAAATCTTATTCCCACAGCCATTCCCATAAGACTCAATATTCATACCAAAAAGAGCCTATGAGTTGAGAAAAATATATGTTAGGTTAGGTTCAATCTATTTTTATGAGTTGGCATAATATCAACTCAATTCTTGTGAGTTAGTGGGTTAAATGAGTAAATTTACAACCCATTTATTATTTTGTTATGATTTTTTAAAGTTATACTTAAATAAGAAGTTCTATTATAATATTTCATGCAATTAAAAAGTTTACATAAAAAATATATGAAATTGATCAATTTTATCATGATTCATTTAAAAATTTGCTTGTCTTTTGGAATTTTAGTGCTAAAACTCCTTCCATTTTTTATTTTTAATTTTTTTTAATAAAATAATATGGGTCAAATGATTTAACTCTAACCCATTTGGGTGGTGAGTTCTTTGGTCTGAGCAAACATAGATTCATTTTTTATGGGTTAATATTTTTCCAACCTAATCTAACCTTTATAATAAGATATCTAAATCAATCCATATAACTTGACCAATATGGCCGGCTCCACTAGGTTCAATGTTATCCACAAACATATGGGTTTCTGATCATGATGAACGATTATAAAACCGTTGACCATGGAACGGAAATACTGACAATAATTTAGAAAGAGAGAGCAAGTGGAGGGGATTAATTGTAGTCTTTTTTTTTAATATATATATATATATATATATCAAAACCAATTTCAGCATTCACAGGGTGGGGTGTGAATTTGAATTTTGGTTGACATTTTTTAATGAATGATACTCCGATGGTTAATCAATATTGTTATTAACTAAATAACCAGCGAATGCTGGATGATCCGGCTCCTGCATGGTAAATGATAATTCTCCAGTCATTCATACGTCAACATGTGAACGAATTTTTAGTAACAAAAAATTGACGTGAGCTGGGTCTTAAAAGTGCATTAAATCATTAGGATCAAGATATATTTCTAGACTGAAAGGAGGTTTACAAGAGTACTTATAAATCACATATTATTAAGTTCTTCATATTAGTAATAAAATTTGAGCTCATGATTTTATGAATTATAAATTAAATTTTTATTAATTAGACTTACTGTTGTCGTCACCTGTGATTAAATTAAAGAGGGGAAAAACCCTTGTAAACATTGTCTTCATGGTGTTTTCAATTGCCGTACCCCACATTAGGAAAATGTAACATAGATGATAGCGATTTGAGCCCCTTAACATAATTTGGAAGTTTGATTCTTGAAAATACGTGTGAAAAAATATTATTTAAAAGAAAACAATCCTTTTAATAATATTTATATTTTTTAAAAAATTAATTTCATAATTGCCAACTGTGGTACCTTCGGCAACAAAAAGAAAAAATTTGGCCTGCCCCACCTTCCACTTTTGCGACAACCACAAGTGCCGCAAACACCGCAAAAGCGAATAACATACTGGAGCTGATGGATAAGTGGGCTTTTTTTGGGCCAATATAATAAGTGGGCTCAAATATCATCAGTCAACACACTCAGGCTTCTTTTTGAATCATTTCATCATTTGAGGCAAGCCGAGCAATGAGCTGCGTTTGCATGGGACATTGATTTGATTTGTCTTGCCACAATATTCAATTTTTTTGTTTTTGGGACCTGAAACTTGTCACAGTCAGGCCATAATTGAAAATCATAACTCATCATTTTTCTTTTAAAAAAGTTACATTTAGATTACAAATAAAAAATTTTATTATTAAATTTTTTTATAAAATTTATAAAATATTCACACGTCTCAAATTTTCCACATTAGTGATAATATTGACATTGAGCAATGATTATTTTATAAATGAAACCTAGATATAATTGTTCTTTTTTTTAAATTAAAAAGAGGCTAAACTGATTCTTTGAACTCACCACATTTTCTATATAAAAAAAAAATCAATTTGCCATTAGGACAATGCACCAAGTACGTACAACTCATCCTTTTTGAAGCGCAATACATATAGAAAAGATCAAGAATAATTTTTTTTTAATAACCAAAGGAATATATACCTGCTGTTTCTCGAGTCCATTAG